TTCATCCCCAGTTATCAGGCCTTGGGGCTTTCCTTCTCTCCCTTGGAGAATTCTAGAAGATTCCTGACAAAGTTGGCAAACATGTCCCCTCCGTCCATGAAGGCAGCCAGAACCAGAACCCCGCCCATCTGCCTCCACCTTAGTTCAGAAGGGGGTCTCCCCAGCCAGAAGTGAGGGTGAAGCGTACTCCCACTTTTCCACCCACAGGCTTGGTCACAGCAAGGAGCCTGAGACCCCGGCTCACATGCCCAGCTTGGTGCCTTCTGAGTGGCAGTACAAGTCTGAACTGTGCCTCCCACTACTCCCCACTCCCCACCCCCTCCACCCCGCCCCATGCCTGGCCACCCGGCCAGAAACAGTCTGCACCTGGGGGTGTGGCCAGCGGCTCAGGGGCACAGCCAAGCCTTCTTCTCCTTGAGTCGGGCCACACCTGGAGGCAGAGCCAGCTCCCTGGGCCCTCACCCAGAGCCTGAGCCAAGAGCTCTGTGAGGATGGATTGTGGCGCCCCGTTTCCACTAAGGAAGTGGACGCCTGGAGAGGCTACGTGACCTGGAGTGGAGTCGGGCCAGGACTCCTGCGGGTCCTTTAATACACACACCACGAGAGCAAAGCCAGCGCCCCCCCGTTTCTGATACAAACGTGCACAGGCGTCAACCGCTTCCCAGGAAAGGGAGAGGAGGGAGTCGGGAGGTAGTGCTTGGGAGATCCCTGGTCTCGCCGTGGGGCAACTTGCTGTTTGTCAGCTTGGCCTCCACCCTTGACAGCATGTGCTATCTGATGCCAGTCCTGGAGGGGACTCAGGCTGCAACATAGGCACGCTCCCAACTACACGTGTGCATGTGTACGTGGATGGGAGCAAGGGCTGAAGGCCTGCAGGCTGGTCTATGGAGAGGGGACTCCCTCACCTTGCCCTCCACCTCACCCTTGCCCCCTGCAGATCCTCCGGAACCACGTGATGGTGCGTGTGGGGGGCGGCTGGGACACACTCGGTCACTATCTGGACAAACATGACCCCTGCCGGTGCACATCCCTCTGTAAGTCCCCTGAGAGTCCCTTCCCTATGACTCCAGGTCGGGAGGCCGGAAGCAGACGCGGGAGGTAGGCCTGATCTCCAGGGGCAAGAGGTGTGCAGGGGATGGAGGAAGGAAGATACTGTAGAAGGTACAGGTGTGGGTGGCCTCTCAGTTCTAGGCGGAAAGCGGGCCAGCCACGGTGCAGTACCAACTTGAGCCACAAGGTGGCGCCAAATACACAGAGAATCAGCATTTGGTCATGAGGGCATGTGGGCAGGGCTTAAGTCTGGCTCTGATGGAGGCACCAAGCATGATTTGGAAGGGTCTTTAGTCTTCCCGTAATGTCCATCAGCACCTCAAGCTACCCCAAATAAGCATGCAATCTAAGTTAAAGATGTGGACTTGCAGCTTTAAACAAGTCCCCCAGCCAGGCCCTCTGACCAGATTTCATCCCCTAAACCCCTCCCTTGAGGAAATTCTGGTGCTGTCACTGTCACAGTAGGTCCCACTGTCTCTAATGCGGGATTCAGGGTGTGGGACAGCTGGGGGAGGGAACGGTGGACCCCATCAGCAGGAGTTTAACCCTTTCCTCCTCTCCTGTCTCTGGGGGGCTGTGTTGGTAGCACACAAGACGGGCAGCTTCCTGAAGCCCCCTGTCCCACTGGTGCAGCATGAAGTGAGGGTGGACGATGGGCCCTCACAGCCCCAGACTACAATGACCATCAGCCGCTCCCAGAGCCCCCTGCCCTCCGTGGACTGGAAGACATACACCTCTTCAGGTCGAAAGCAGAGGCCCCCTGCCGCCTCCTCCCCTACACCCCACCGTGAACGGAGAGCAGGGGCAGGGATCCTCAGAGAGACAGCACCATTCCCGAGGTACTGGGGAGGGACAGGGCAGGGCCTCTTCCTGCTTTGGAGTCTACATTCTCAGAGGCCACCCCACCCCAAGATAAGGGGAGCAGGTCTCCCAGCAGTGCCTCTATCCCAGCAAGACCTCAGGTGTTCAGAACCAAAAAACACCCAGTACATTTAGGATCATCTAGTTAACTTCATACACCCTCCCATTTCACAGATGAGAAGGCTGAGGCCCATAAAGGGAACAGACTTACCCACGGTCCCTCTGCCATTTCATGGTAGAGCAGAAACTAAGACCCTCCCCACCCAAGACTGGTGACCTGTAGTTGTGGGATCCGAAGCAACCTGGAGTCCAGACCAGGCTGCTTTCTATCTGCTACACAGGGAATGGGGGAGGACAGACTTAAACAGTATCTGCTGTAAGGAAGAGTCTCTGGCAGGCACGGGGGAGAGGGAGCGTCTGCTTCATTCAACATGAAGTCTGACCCCCTGGGAGTTCTGGCTGGGGAAAGGCCATCCCTTCGCAGAGCCAGGGGACTGGGAGCCAGGGGACTGGATCAGATAACCCTGCCAATAACCTATGATTCTCCCTTTCAGGTGCCAGGAGAAGTCACTCGCTCCGTCTTGGAGGCAGCTGCCAGATGGGGACAGCCCACCGAGCCCCCAATCCTCACCTACTCCCAGGGGCCGAGGCACACAGTGCACCTCCTCAGGGAAGAGGGAGGACAGATACCCCCCTGAACTCCCCAGAAGAAGGACTCCCACATCTTGGGTTCATGAGGAGACAGACAGCTGGGGAACTCGTGCCAGGACCCCCATCCCCCAGGGACTCCAAGCCCCTGAGGCCACTACCACAGAGACACCAGCAGGAGGAGCATCTCCCCTGCCTTGTTCCTCCAGCCCAGCCAAGTCTGTGGGCCCCAGGCCACCACCCGGGGATGAGGCCGAGGGTGCCTCCTCCCAGCTTAGGGAGACAGTATCTGTCCATTCTCCATCCCCTGTTAAAGGACCCATCAAGATCCTGGTCCGGTTGCCCCCAGCTTGCCCCCCGACTCTGGGAAGAAGCTTTCCAGGGACTGCAAGTGGAGGTCCCAGGACAGAACTGGGGAGAGGGCCCATTCCATTAAGGGCCGTCACTGGGGACCTGTCTGGGTCCAGACATGGGGACTGCTCTGTGGAAGAGAGGCAAGAGGACCAGAAGCTGGATGTCCAGGTGACAGCAGAGGCCGGAGAGCCCTGGGGCCTGGGCCCACAGCACCAGGAGGGGAGGTACACTCCCCTGCCCTCGGGTGGGATCAAGGAGCAAGCCATCCACCACAGCCTTGGGGAGCAGCTTTTGGCCAGCATGAAGCTGCTAGAGGTGGCCGCTGTCTGCCCCCAGGGCGCAGCGTCTGGAGTCGTTCCTCGCAGTGGAGTCTACGTGCCCAGTCTGGGTGGGCGGTGGCCTGAGCCTGGGGGTCCTTATGACAAAGTCATCCAAGAGCTGGCTCAGGGCCCCCCACCCCTCCTTAAGGTGGACCTGGGAGCCTGGAAGGCAGCCCCTACAGGCTGCCCTAAGCCGGCTGTAAGTGCAGGCCCAGGAAGCCCAAAAGGGAAACTGGGAGCCGAAGAGAGTGGGCTGAGGACAAAAGCAAGCCCAAGTGCCAAGGGTGCCAGGACAACCAAGGTCCCAGCTCAAAGGGGGCAGGACTGCTCAGCCCCTGCTGTGTCTGCCACCCCAGAGTCCTCCACACCTTCGCCCTCCGCCCCCAGTTCTGATAAAGCCAAGGCATGTCCAGGCAAGGGCAAGAGAACACTCCGGAAGCCCCGGAGAGTCCCATCCATCTACAAGCTGAAGCTCAGGCACAGGATTCGGCCCCGGAGAGACCACAGGCCTGAGAAGCAGCCTTCACGAATCCCCAAGCCGTTGACCTACCTCCACCTGGGTCCAGCCAAGGCACCCCCCAGGGGCAGGCTGGTGAGAGCAGTGCTGGGCAGCAATGGAGGGAAGGCAGCCCTGGGGGATGGAGCCTCGGCGGGGGAGAAGGAGGAGGGAGAGGAGAGGAAAGGGCCAGCTGCACCACTGGAGAGCAGCTCCCCGCCTTTGGAGGGTCAGGGGCCTCAGCAGCTTGATCAAGCCCCCGCCTCACCTGAGGAGGAGTCTTGGGTGTGAGAAGGCGCTTCTCCTCCCCGAGCCTGTGGGTATAGGGGAGGAGGGAAGTGAAAAGATGCCCGTGTATTCGTTGCACTCCCAACTGCAGGAACAGAAAGGAAGGTCCCTCACCTCAATACAGGGCCTTGGCCAGGAGAGTTTAGAAGACAAACAGAGACTCCATCTGGTCGGTTGAGCAGGAGGGCAACCCATGAGTCCCAGTCCAATTCCAGGGTGGTAGGGCTACTGTCTCCCAGAACAGCTCCCCAAATTCCTGTGCTCTGTCCTCCGGCCATGCCCATTTCCACAGCTCTTATAAGTTATTAAACGTGAGTGGGTCTGTCCCTGAGCCCCCAGCTCTTGAGTCCTTCACTCTACCACGGTGCAGGAAGGTGTGGCAGCATTTCCCCCGCTGGAGGGGAAGAGGGGGAGGGAGCTGGGGCGAGAGAGGTTTCCCCTCTGCAGCCCCAGCCAACCTTGCCAGACAGCCCTTCTCTCCTGGAAGAGGCTGCTGCATGAGCATCACGGACAGGGACAAGGTCGCCCCACACAGGCTCCTGCAGGACTTCAAAACTTTGCTCTGGGGGGCTGGGAACTGAGATCACTGAGTCAAGAGGGATGGCTGAGAGCATCCCTTAACATCGACACGCCTGGAGTTACGATGGGTGTGGGCCGGGGTGGATGCAGAGCCTCGGCCATGAGTGGGAGGAAGACACAAAGGCAGAACCTGGGATTGAGTCCACGTCTGAAAGTCTTCCCAAGAAAGTGGCAGAGGGAGATGTTATGCTTCTCTTCTGAATGGTTTTGATCACCTGGCGGGGTAGGTGGAGAGGAGATGAGTCCCCAGCTCTCCCCCTTTCCCTTCATTCTCCTGGTGGGCCTGGGCTTTAGGACTCAGGCCACCTCATCGCCCAGACCGTCTGTCCCTCCAGAGCTCAGCAGGCAGAAACCCTGCAGGGAGTCCCTTCCTTCCCACGGCAGGAACTGAGCCAACACCTTGGTACAGAAACGAGGGAAAACACTCCCTGATTTTTAATCTGACTTCTGATCACAGCGCAGTGGGCGTCACACACACTTCCAGACCCTGTGGTGGGAAACCCTGGGGAAGGGAGGGCAGGGTGAAGGACAGACACTCAGAACGGGGGCGGAAGGAATCAAAATCAAAGATCTGGGGTGAAGCGGGGGTGAGAGGGTGGGTGAAGGGGGCCAGCCAGGCAATACATTCCAACGGCTCCCACAGGGGGCAGCCAGAGGCCTGGGTCCCTCACTCTCACCTCAGGTGCCTCAGAGCTGGGGGTGACAGTGATGGGGCAGGTGAGACGCTGTCACCACTCACCCCATCCCCCTGGTGAGTCAGGGGGCAGGGATGCAGGGGATAAAGGGGGGCAGCCACTCTTCCTTACCCTCCCAGCCACTCCAAGGTGTGGGGGGGAGGGGAGCCACCTCCTCTGCTTCAGAGGGAGGCTCAGAGAGGGCAGGTCACTTGCCCAAAGTCATGCAGCACAGCAGGGACCAGAACCCCAAAATACTGGACTGCCCAAGGTCAGGGCAGTCACTGTCGGGCTGCGTCACCCCCAGTGAGCGGAGTGGGAATCACCTGGGGAAGCAGAAGAGAGCATCGAAGCTTCCCTCTCACGCTGGATCTGGATGAGAAGTTTGCCACCCATGACGCCTCCCCCAGACTCCTCTCCATCACCACCCCGAGCTACCTGGTTTCCTGGTCTATACGCCACAGCTTGGCTACATCGAGGCTAGGCTGTTCTCTCCGTCTCTCTTCTAACAAGGGACCTCGCTATCCTCCCACCAGAGAAGGGCTGAGGGCTCAGCCTCAGGGAGAACTTGGCTAGGCGGCCGGGGACTCGCACCATTTCTCCCGCCCTCCAAATCCCCCAGTAATCCCGCAGGTCACTCCTAGTATCTTCATTACTTTTGTTATTTCTAAATCGGTACAAAACTGACAGTGATCAGCTCCGGTGACAAGAGGTAGAAACTGGCCAGGCAGCCGGAGAAAATGGGGCGGAGTGAGTCAAGGCATGGGGCCAACTGGTGTCGGGACGAGGGGGAGTCAGATCCTGAGGGCCTCCATCCAGGGGTGGGGATGCCGGTATATCTCCCCCAAGCATAGGGGTTCCCATAATTCTTTTCCCGGCTCGCCCCTCCCCAGATTAATCGGGGTAATCTGAGATTCAAGGCGGGCAAGGTCTGGGGCAGTCAGCTTGGGGTCAGATGGGGAGAAAGAGTCTTCCCTGGCACGACCTGACTGTCTCCCTCCACACCCCGCCCACCACCAGACACTCCCCCCTCCCCCCCAAACATCCTCCAGTCTGGCAGACCACTGGAAGCTGGCATCATGGAAATAAATCTATCATTTGTGGGCATTCCCTCTCCACACTCGGTCAAGAAAAAAATGTTGAACCCAGAGGGTGATCTGACTTTAGGGTCAGGAAGTGGGAGAGGGGCACCCGGCAGGGACGGACCATCGAGTTAAGGCTGGAAGGTAGCTTGGTGCGTCTATTGGGGCTGTTGGGCAGGGAGGTCTCCCTGGAAGCGGGGGGAGCTCTGCCTTCTCCCCCTGACTGATCCAGGACTTCAACCCTCGGACCCCGGTTGTGGTCCCTGGGCCACCCGCATCGCCCCGCCCCGTGCCGGTGGTGCTGACGGTCAGAAGGCTGGCCTCACGAAGAGGTGCTGCCGGGACCTGCGACAGGGGGTGGATAAAATGAGAGCCCTGTGAACGAAGCTGGAGGTGGCGAGGGTGGGTAAGACAGCTGAGGACCAACTGACGCTTGGGCAGACAGACAGACACGGGAGAAGAAGACGCGGAACAATGACAGACACTTTCTGGAGGTGACGGTTGCGGGCCCGGTCAAGAATGCACCTCTCCACCCCCGCCCTCCGGTTCACGCGCTCACCCCCAACCCCCAGGGGCGGCAGCGCTCCTAGGGGCCCGGCCGGGCTCTGCACGAACTACAGCACTAAAGGCGGCCGTCCCAGGAAGACAGACGCGGGAGAGGCGGGAGAACGGGGCAGCTAAGGAGAAGCTCCCTCTCGCCCTCCGCCTCTCCCGGGGAGAGCGTGGCTGCGGGGGCGGCCCAGGAGTTCTCTTCCTGCCCCTCCCCGCCCGGGCCCGCCGGGGCTGCGGCCCGTGGGGCGCGGCGTCACATGATGGCGCAGCGGTTGCGGCGCAGCGCGCCCTGGAAGCGCAGGGCGGCGTGCACGTGCTTGCAGCGGGCGCAGCCGACGCTCTTGAGCAGCTCGCTGAAGAGCAGCAGGATGTGCCAGTTGTACTTGGCCGAGCACTCCACGTAGCCGCACTTCCAGGTCTTGCGCACCAGGTGTGACACGTTCCAGCGCGGGATCACGCGTCCGCGCTGCAGGTCCCTCTTGTTGCCCACGATGATGATGGGCGTCTCCGAGGTGCCGATCACCCTGCTGGGCGAGGTGGGAATCTCAGAACCCCACAGTCTAGTCTCACAACCTCCCCACCCCGGGCCCCGGACTTCAAGAAGGGCGGGCTGTGCCTGGTCAATACTACTACTACCATCCATCTGTTCCAGGCGCAGCGCTGTAACTGACGCAACTGATGCAAAAGGTGGGTGTTAATGTTCTCCCCATTGTACAGATGAGGAACCTGAGCCTGGCTTAAAGTCATGCGGCTGAGGCGCCCTGGAAGTCTCCTTCCCCTAGCCTCTGCTCTTTACTGCACTAGACTAGCCACCCCATGGTAAGGGTCCCAAAATGAGTTAACAGAAACGGGGACGGCAAAATGTCGTGAGTGTGTGTTTGAGTATGTGTGGGAACCAGAGGCACGTGATCTGTTTCCCTCCCACTGCACCCTTTTCACAGGAAGTGGCCAGCATAGGGGCACCCACTGAAGTGGCAGTGGAGTGTATCCTGGCCCCTCACCTCGTCTCTAGGATCTGCTGGCGGATGGTCTTGACGTACTCAAAGCTGTCAAAGCAGCAGATGTCGTAGACCAGGATGTAGGCGTGGACGCTCCGGAGTCCCCTGCAGCAGGCGTCTGCCCACTCCTGCAACACCCCCAGCCAGCACCAAGGTCAGAGCAGCCATAAGGGCTCCCCTTGCCCCCAGCCACCTCCCGCCATACACAGCACTCTCACCTGCCACTGCACCCTAAGCCTTGCACACTCACCGATCCCCAGGAGGCCAGGCCCGGGGCACAACGGCAGAGCTCAGGTGTGGCTTCCCCACCTCCAAGCCAGGATGGGGCAGGGCCGCTGTCTGTCCTGTGCACTCCTGGAGCTGAGATCTGCCTTGTCCCATTTTGTCCCCCAATCCATCCATCCAGTCCTTTGTTCGATTACATTTATTAAGCGCCTCTACGAGCCCAGCCCTGAGCTAGTTGTTGGACCTGTTGAAATCCTCTCTATCTTCCCAGGCCTCAGCTCAGATGCCTCTTCCTCCTCTAAGAAGCCTTCCCGCAAGCAGGGGACTATTCCCTTCATCCTCTGTGTTCTAAGAACAGTTCAATTATACCTTGGTCAGAGCTGTTTCCATTCCCAGGTCCCCACTTCTGCTGTGAGCTCCAGAGAGGACCAGAGTCCAGCCTTCCTCGTTTTTACATACCTCCTCCTCCTAGGCTCTTTAATTCCACTACCTAGGCTGGTGAACTCTCCACGGTCCTGAATCCCACCTGGTCCGTGCTGGAATCAACCCAATTCCTGCCTGTAACGCAGCCCTTAGATTGCTACCTGATGTGCCCCTTCTGTTTGCTTCACTCTGCCCTCAAAGTTGAGAAGAAGGAGGCCTGAGGAGAAAAAGGTTGAGACTGGATGCCTAATGGGGGCTGATGTAGAGCAGGGCCCCAGGGCAGCTCCAGGGAGATGGAACTTCCTGAATGCCCGTGGCAAATTCTCTGGGAAGGGCCCGCGGCTCAAGCTGAACAGGCCCCAGGCAAGCCTGAGTGCACGAAAGAGAAGATTGCTTAAGAGATGAGTTAGCTAATTAACCTGCCAGCAGATGAGAATTGCAAGGGCAGCAGCAGAAAGCAGCCGGAGTGTGGAAAGAAGGGCCTCCCTGAAGTCTGGGGAGGCAGAGGCCTCCCAGGACAAGGGGAACTAGGGTTTTCTCTAGGAACTAGAGCCCCGGCAAAAGACGAGAGGGAGAGGCAGGCATATCTCCTGTGCCAGCTTATGAGCTGAATTGGGGTAGGGATCAGGCATGGAGGACTACAGCTGGTTCTACACTGCAGAGAAGGATTAAAAGGGAAAAGACTTGGGCGACAGTGGTGGAGAGTTAAGTCTGACTCCAGAGAAGCACTTCCCGATTCAAAGGCTTAGAAGCGGCTGCAGTGGATTTCTCCAGGGAGATGATGTGGCATCTTTTCTTTGCGCTGAGTTTTAACTTTGGTGCAGGGGGAAGATGCTGAGGACAAATCTAAAATCATAGGAAACCATGAACTGGTTTCTCAGGCCAGGAAAGACTGTATTCCACTGGACACAGGACCTCTGGGAGCTTGGGACCCCAGAGTGTACGCTGTTCCTCCTCCATCCCATGCAAGGAGCGGAGATCAGCAGGAAGTGGGAGGGATGGGGAAATAGGCAGAGAGGCTCCCACATTCTTCCAGCTCTCTGCTGGGGAGAGGGAACAGCTGCCAGCCTTCGAGGGAGACAGCCCCACCTCTCTCCCAACATGCTACCTCCTCAGGGGGGTCTCCAGGCTGCCTCCCACCCACTTCTCTCTGGGGGCTCCTAAAAGGGAGAGGAAGAAGGCTCCCGATTGGCTGGGTTGCCCCTTCACCCCTGATTGAAGGGAGGGAGTAAGAAAGCTCAGCTTGCCTTCCAGCTAGCTCCATGCAGCATTCCAGATGGTAAAAGACCATCTTGGAGCTGTATCAAGACAGAGAAGGAGCAATGGAAACTGAGTCCAGTTCCAAGGACACAGGAGCTGAGGGAGCCTCAGCCACCTGGGTGCCAACCATGCATTTGCTGCTCCTTCCTTGGGTGGGTTGCACACGCCCTCTAACCTCAGCTTCCTTCTCTGATAGGAGGAGAGAGGCTGCAGAAGCAACAGCTGAGACGACCCTAGAAACGCCGCTCTCCTGGGCTGGATCTCATCTGGCATTGGGGAAGAATGTATTCTTATTTTCAGACAGTAACCAGTGGGATTCTACTATTTGATCTTTGGGGCATGCAGGATCCTGTCTCAGCATTTCTTTGCTCAAAGTCCCTTTCTTGTGCTTCAGGGGTGAAGTCTTGGACATCCCTGTAGAGTCCAAAACTCAGGGTCAATCAGGAAGAAAAAGGCCAATGATCCAACAGAAAGATGGGCAAAGGCATTAATAGTTTTCAGAAAAAGAAAGGCAAAGGCCCTCAAACATATGAAAAGATGCTCAACTTCACTCATAAGCAGAGATGTAAATAAAAAGTACACTGAGATTATCCTATGTCATCTATCAGACTGTCAAAAATCCAAAAGTTTGACAATACACTCTGATGGCTTTAGGGAAATGAGCACTCATGTAACATCCCTCACAGGAGCACAAACTATGCACCTTAATGGAGGGGGGGGGGGTGGAATCTGGCACCTTCCTAACTCCAGTTGCATTTATCCTTTGACCTAGCAATGCCATTTCCAGAAATCGATCCCACAGATATGCCTTCCTGTGTACAAAATGACTATTACAAGGCTATTCACTGTGGCATTGTTTTGAAGCAAAAGTTTGGAAACAACCCACTTGTCCAACAAGAGGGGACTTCATAGTACATCTTTCCAATGGGATACAGTGTAGCCATGAAAAAAGAATGAGGAAGACCTCTAGATACTGACATGGAAAGACCTCCAGGTTAAAATGTCAAGCCAAAAAAACAAACAAACAAAGAAAAAACCCAAACAAACAAACAAAAGGTGCAGACAGTTTTGTTTTTGTTTTTAATGCAAGAAGGGAAGTAGAATAAGAATACATTTTCTTATTTGTGTAAAGAAAAACTGGAAGTGTGAATAAAAAAACCAATGAGAATGGCTATAGAATGGGGCAAGAGCTGGGGTAAAGGGAGCAGGGGTGGGACTGAGATTTCTTTGGGTGTACTTTTTGTTTGTTTGTTTTAACAAAGTTTGGGCTTTTAAATTGTATCTTCCCGATTCCAAAATCGAAATTACAATTTAAACACACAACAAAATGTGAAAAATAAACGCAGCTCAATGCACAGGACCAGAGCGGGATCTGAGCATCCACTCAGGCTACTGTTAGTCTCCTCTGGAGGAGAAATAGAACACCTGACCTTGGACCCACTGCCCTGACCTCACTGTTTCCAAGGCGTGATGTGTGGATCAGGCTTTTGTCTTTGGTGCTGATGCTCCCACACCTAGGATGGGAGAGACAGGTGTCCCCGAGGTTGGGCAAAGGTCCTCCTGCCCGGACTTGCTGACACAGTGCTGAGCCTGAGCCCTTCCCCAGCCCCCAGCTCCACCCGAGAGATTGCTGTATTTGCACAGTTACAACTGGCCAAGCGGTGGCCCCTGCCCTCGGGGCCTCCACCGTGCCTAGAGAAACTTCTTCCTGGAGAAACTCTGTGCTCTGGTCAGGGGCTTCTTTGGTGAGCCAACATGTCTAGGGCTCAGCTTCCCCCTGCACCCGACCCCCGCTCAAGCCAGAGGTAGAGAGCAGGAAGAAGGACCCGGTCCTGCAGGCTGGACCCTGTAAGCCAGGGCACTGGGGGCATCTGAATCCAACCCCTGCAGGAAAGGCCGCCCCGAGGGCCAGTCCTGAGGTCAGGGGACAAAGCATCACTTAAGAGAAAAGGCCCTTGGGCAAGAGATCTGATTGGGGTCTCCAGTCTCTGAGAACACACCTTTCCCAGGTCCCAGCCTTTTCTTCTGTTGTCCCTTCTACAGATGACGTGGGTCTGAGGCCATGGGAGGCAGCGCCCAGAATATTAACAAGCATCCGGCGCTCTATGCCTTTCTCTCCACTGCCCCTTACCTGCCCAGATCCTACCTAGCTAAGACATCACCTCCTGTGACCCCCACCCTCACACACCTTCGTGGGACAGATGCCCCTTCAGGGCTGTCTTAGTTCCCGCATCCCCTGCAATCATGACACTCATGGAACTATGTAATAGCTGACTGTTTGCCTTCTCACCAGACTATGAGTTCCTTGAGAGCAAACTGCTCTGTCTTGAGCACCATTCTATCCCAGTGCCCACCACAGGGCCTGGTACACATTAGACGTTCATCAAATATTTGTTGAATAAACCAGTGCACAAATGAATGGATTCCTGGCACAGCTCTAAGTAGGGCGGCCCGTGGTGCAGCGCGGAGTTCTCAAAGCCAGCAATAGGGCCGGAGCCAGGAGAGGGTTGGGGTCCAGGCTCTCCTCCACCCTGTCCCCCACCCCCACCCCCCTACCTGCAGCGTATTGACAGGGAAGGCGCTGATGGGCGGGAAGTCGAGGATCTGGAGGTCGTGCACATGGCCGTTCATGACGACAGCAGGCAGGTAGAGGCGGCGGGCGGTGGTGGGCACGCAGACCTCGCTGAACTCGTTGTACAGGAACTGGCGCACGATGGCACTCTTGCCCACGCCTCGCGCCCCCAGCACGGCCACCCGGTAGGTGGAGACCATGCCTCCCGCCCCGCTCCGCCACCTCGTCCTCGCCGCTGCCTGGGGCTCCCCCGGGCTGCATATTCCAGGGGCTGGGGGCTCAGCCACCGTCAGGACCAATCATCGCTGCCCCTGCTTGCCCTGGGCCCTCTGCGGCCTCCACCTGGACTGTGGAAACAAGAGGTGGGCTTGGTGGGGCTGGCTTCTCCTCCTTGGACATATCCTGTACTTTTCTACCTTGGGGAATGTCACTGGAGCTGTTACTACTGCCACTTGGGATGCCTTCCCTTCCCCAGAGCCCCTAACCCATCTATCCAGAACCTCCCCATCCTTCCTTCTCCATTCTCCCTGCCGTCCATCCCATCAGTGGGAATCAATCTTTCTTGACTTGTATTATGACCTGACTTTTGGCCGGTCTGACTCCCAGACCCAGGCAGGCCGCAGAGCGGAGTGGAAAGAGCACTAGACTTGGCTTCAAGTCCCAGCCTTCCCACTGAGCCCGGGGCAAGACAGCAACGCCTCGCAGCCTTGGTCTCCTGGTCCACAGGAGACCAGGCCAGTGCGTGTCCGTGGAGGCAGTCCTGGCATTTTGTGGAGAGAGAATTCTTTATCGAGCAGGGCATTTCACATCCCCAGCTGCCTGGAGGTACTTGCCAGCAGCAGCCTCTAGTGACCATGATGACCCAAAATGCGCTCCCCCCACCTTCCCAAGCACCCCCTGCTGAGAATCCCTGGATTGGCCGATGACTTTGGCTCTGTGGAGCGTGACACCTGTGGAGCAGTTACTCTAAGTCAGCATGCCCACGTGGTTATCCTTAGTCGATACAGTATCCCCAGGTAATAGGTATTCCCACTTTGGAGAGAAGACCCAGAGGGAGGGAGACACGAGCCCAGGCACACAGCTGGGAAAGGCGGGCTACTCCTTTCTACAATGTTGCAGTACTTCAGCTTCCAAGTTTAGGGATTCTAGCTGGCGTAGGCCACAGGCCAAGGGCTGGGTCTGATTATCTGGCAACCCCCTGAGCTCAGAGGACCTGGCATGCAGCAGGTGCCCGGGAAAGGGCTGCTACAGGATTGAACCTTGACATGGATTCGTTAGCTCCTTCTTGCTCAGTTTCAATGACTTTAGAGCATGGGTATAAATCCCAGCTCTGATGTTTCCTGGCTGTGGATCTGAGCCACATTCTGCACACTTATAAAGAAGGATCGTTAGCCTCTACTCCTGAGATAATCCAAGTAAACCTCTTAGCCAGGTGCCTTCTCTTTCTGTTGAGGATGGTGACCAGGGAGGCTGGTACATGCCTGAGACCTCCTGTTTGGGGACTATTCCCAGGAGGGTGACACCAGTGCCTGCTAAATGGGTCCAAGGCAGATGGGTTTGCTGGGTTTGGATGGGGCCATGCTTTCCAGCACATATGCACGTTTTCTCTGTGGATGCATACCCTTTCCACATATGCACAGCTCACAGCAGAATGTCCCTCAGTCCAGTCCGTCCTGGTTCAGAGGACCCAATCCACAGGGCATGTCACATACAGCATAGTAAACCAAAGGCAGGATCTGGAGTGAGGTCCACCAGCATTGGATTCTCCGCTCTGCCACTCACCTAAACTGTGATCTTCGGCAGGGAACGTCATAGGGTGTTGTGAGGCCATAGGGTGTTGTGAGGCCGGAGTAGGTGTTCAATAAACAGTGGCCATTGTTATGCACAGGGGTCCTTCACTCATCGATCACAATGGGACCTCCTAGCCATCCCAGATGGGTCACTCTGCACTACTGCACTGTTGCTCACGTACATGTAGTGTGTGTGTGTGTGTGTGTGTGTATGTGTGTGTGTGTGTGTGTGTGTGTGCAATTCTCCCCATTTTATTGAAGGTAAAAACAAAACCAAAAAAACCCCCACAGATTTAGGGATGTGAAGACCACATAGCCAGTTGAGCTGTCAACTAAGACTAGGACTCTCATCTCCTTCCTGTCCCATGCAGTGTCCCTTCCCAACAAGTGCTTCTCTATTTCTGTGAGCTCCCAACTGGGGGAAGTACCAGCCCCTCCTCCCCATAAATCCCTCCAGGGCCCTGGGCTTCTCAGGCATCCCTGGACACTGTCAGCATGGCAGAGAGCCTCAGCTGGGTTAATTACATAACCAGCACAAGCAGGTGGGGAGGGGGCACCTTAGGGGAGGGAGAGAAGGCAAAGAATACCAGAAGTGTCCCGGCCTCCCCCTGGGTGTGGCAACTTAGAGGGATCTAGGATGTAGCCTACCTGCAGATTCTCCTGGATAACCCATTCCCTGCCCTGAAATCAACCCTTTCTGGGGGAATAGCTGGGAAATAAAAGCGGGGCACAGCGCTAGAGCCAGGGAGGGGGTGCCAGAGAGGCCCCTAGGCTGGGGACAGCCTCCTGGAAGGCACGAGGCCCTGACTCAGAGGTGACTGGTGTCCCCTCCCGCTTCCCAGGCAGGGGTCCTGGGTCTAAGTGTTTGTTAATGCAACATCCCCAGCTGGGTGGGGGTGGAAGAGGGCTGTCCGGAGAGGCAGGGCCCAGGCCCCTGAGCCTCCCTCCCCAAGGCCTGTGCTCTGCAGTGAGTCTGCAGACAGCGCCCGGGGACATACACTGGGGCCAAAGCCTGCTTCTGGTTCCTCCTCCCTGGACCTGGACGCCTGAGTCCCAGCCTCAGACTGAGGGCGGGGGCTTTGCAGGTCCCGTGGGCCGAGTCACACGTCTGCCCGCTGTCTGTCCCCATCACATTCATGTGGGAGTGGGTGGGTGCGGGCGTCGGAGGATGCTGAGCTCCCTGTGACCTGATTGGTGGGAGTTCTGGGTGAGGGGGATGCCGGAGCCCAGCCTGCTCTCCGCCTCCAGCACCTCGCAGGCAACCCCCCTCACCACCCCGCCAGCACCAGCTCTCACGTGGCCGCCCCGCGCCGCTTCCCCGCCAGTCCGCCGGCCCCCACCTCCCTTCTCGCCCCCGTCGCGCCTCCCCATTCCCCCACCGACCCACCCCGGCCCCGGCCCGCCCGCTCGCCCAGCCTCCCGCTGCTTACCCGGGGCCGTCCTAGCTACCCCCAGCCCGGGCCGGCCGGCCGGTGGGGCCGCGCTCCCCCCGGGCTCCGGTGCTGCCCCCCGGCTCCCCGGCCCGGGGGGAGAGAGGTGGGAGCGCCCCCGGCTGCGCAGTCTGGGCGGGCTCAGGGCGGGCGCGGGGCGGGGGGGGGGGGGCAGGTGCTGGCCGCCGAGTGGGTAGGACACCTCCAGCCCGATTCTCCCTCCGGAGCGCGCCGCCCGCTCGCGCTGGGAGGAGGAGGAGGCGGGAGCGGGGCGGGGGGCGGGGGGCGGGGGGGGCGTGCCCCGCTGGCGTTCTGCTGGGTCCCTGAGCCTGCCATATTCACTTGGGAAGCCCTGGACAAATTCTTTAATCCCGAGCCTCGACCTTCACCCCTCCCAACTCGCCCTGCGGTATTTTTAGCTCTAACCTGGAGGGCTGGGAGAAAGGGACCGGAGAGGCCCTAAAGCCTTTGGCTTCACTCCATATCCCACCCCCGCCACACACCCCAGGTTCCCTCTCTAGGTCTCTTCTGACCCTTCCCAGTTCCGTCACTGGACGGTCGCCCACTGTGTGCCTTGCACCGTGTGCTAGAGAAGCATCCAGACTCCTCTCCGCCACCCCACCGGAGGACTGCGAAGGGTGGTCATTTTCACCCTTCACTGCAGCAGGGAAAGAAGAGCAGAGCAGGCTGGCAAAGCAAAGCTCATCCCAGGCCAACGAATGACCTCCATCCCCTGAAACGACTGCTCCCCTCTCCTCTCCAGAGGGGGTGATACCAGCATTTGCCAGGGGAGAGGGCAGAATCGCCCGTGTATTTACTCTAAAACAATCGTGGTCAGTGTCGATTAATTTAAATGACACTTTTAAATGAACATTTAATGAGTATGTGCCAGGCAATGTGCTCTCAGCTTTGCCTGCATCTTCAAAGTTAACGCTCACAATACTATGAGGTAGATTCTGTTTCCCCCGTTTTACAGATGAGATAGTTGAGGCTGAGAGAGGCTGGTCTTACTTAAGTGTAAAATGCGGAAGACAAAAATTGGGAGTCTCTAGCGGGGCAGCCACTGACGAACTTGGCCAGGGGCCCACAGCTCATCAGGGAGGCCAGAAGCACACACGTGGCGCGAATATATGATGTGTGCAGAGTCAAGGTTCTGGGGAAGGGTAGACGGAGCAGGCCAACTAGGGAGAGGAGTCAGTGGAGGCTTCGGAGGAGGCAACTTTCAAGGAAGAAGCCTTGAAAGAAGTGGATTTCGGGTGCAGGGTGGGGGAGGGTGTGGAAGAGGAGGGTTCAGATGAGAGAAGTTGGGAGCAGTTACAGGGGTTTGAGAAGGGGGTCCAGGACACAGACAGGCACGGGGGTGGGGGCGGGGGGCTGGAAGCACAGGGAGAGGAGGCTGAGAGGTTGGTGGAGGTGAAGTCACGAAGGCCTTGATTGCCGAGGAAGGAGTTGGGATCTAGCCCTGTTTGGCTGGGATAGCCTGTAAGCGTTTTGAAGCAGGGCAGCAACCTGGTCAGTGGTGCAGGGAGGAGGAGAGGGAAGCTGGGAGAGATCTCCCAAGTGCTTTTACCCCTGGACCCAGCATCCCACACTGTGACTTCCTTCCTATTCTTTCTAGTACTAGTGGGCTGAGCACCCTCCCGGTCGCTCCCCTTCCCTCTCCCGTCCAGACAGAGAGTACAGTGGTTACGAGCCTGGGCTTCAGAATCAAGCAGATCTGGAGTTAGGTCCTGGCCCTACCACTTACTACGTGACTGAAGGCAAATTACTTGAACGCTCTGAACTCTATGCCTTATTTGTAAAATGAAGAGATGATCAGTTGTCCCCACAGCATAAATGAGCCTGTGGTGTGTAGAGTCTGTAACGCAGTGCCTGGCATGGAGTCTCACTGTGTGGCCTTTCGTTTTTCTTTTCTGTTTTAGAGACACAGCCATTCAGAGGGAAGGTTGAACATGACCTTGGGAAAGCATTTCCATTTCCATTTATGCTAAGATGGCTCCTGGGTGCTGGGTAGGGCTTTGCAGAGAAGGGCCAGGGCAGCTAGAAGCAAATAGAGGGCTGAGAAGGAGACAGGGGGCCCCCTCCTGGAGTGCCACTTTTGTTCTGGAGACATCAGATTTACTGGCCCTGTGGAATTGCAACGGTCAACCAAGTCAACCAAGAGACTCCTAAACTTGATTAAATCATCCAGGGCACTACCAATCCCCCCACTGTATTTGAAAATCTTTCATCCTTACCCCGCCCAAGGATCCCAGAATTTATGTCTACTCCCCCAGGCTATGGCCCGCCATTCTGGTTCTATTTCAGCCCAAGGGAGACTAGAAACGAGAAATCATGCAATGCTCACACACACCTTGCGGCCAGGCTTCTCAGAATTCTCAACTTAGCTATACTAGGAGAACACAAAGCCTCAGGTTCATTAAGGGGCCTCACACTGGCTTGCAGTGATGGGTCACTTAAAGCATTATATCTTACATAAAAAAACAAACCCATGGTATTAACATAAAATGCAAAATGTACCTGAATTTAAGACTCAGTTAAATCATCTTGGTTCGCTGAGCGTCACTTTGGTCTAAGGATGTACGCCCCTAGGAGCCTATTCACTCTTCTATGATTAGGATTACCTTGGTGAAAAAACCCGAGAGGCTCTGTCCTTAGTCTGTGGCTCTGGTTCAGCTGAGGACACCTGAGGTTTAAGGGGATGGAATGCATGGGTCCACCTGCAGCATCTGAAGCCCAGACACGGAGCGGGACAGAGAGGACGAGGACCCGAACCTGCCACTCCGCCGCCCCTGCTCCATCGTAGCCGAGGATCCCACTGGCTTTCAGAAGCTGGCTAGCCAGATCCTGGGGCCTTTAACCGTAAGTGGAGAGTGAATGAAACAAGGGAGGGAAAGCCAGAGGCTAGGCTAGACTAGAATATCCTCCTCTAATACCTACCCAGTGGGAGAAGGCGGGTAGTGGAGTTCTCTCAGTCCCAGAATGTTGGGGCAGTCCTGTCTCAAAAGGATAATTCCGGAAATTAAGTCCATCTGGATCTAACCAATCCCTAAATTAGTCTTCCTCTTGTTGGCAGCATCAAGAACAGCAGGGCAAAAGCTAAATGAGAAACTGAGATGGCAAGTTTGGAGCCAACTCGGAAACTTTTCAAGAAACATCCTTGTTGCTAATAACATGTCTGGGGGCTGGTGGGGATTCTAGGATTAGTGTTCAGGAGACAGAAATGGGTAACGACGGGGGAGGTGTGATCTTTCCCAAGTGCCACACCAGGTATTAAAATAAACAGGCTCTTGCCTCCTGGAGCTGGGGGTGGCAGAAAAAGAAATCTGGGTCCAAGCAAAACCAGAAAAAGCATCAGTGCATGAGGTGGGAGTAGGAAGGCTCCAACCCGGGAGTCCTCAGCTGTTCTCTGGCCTCAGAAACAATGTACAATGTACCTGAGATCGCTGGTGGCGGGGGGTGTGGGCAGAGAAGGATGGTGCAATCTCAGGTGGAGGTCTGGGGGCCAGTATACCCTGCTTTTGGAGACTGAACACACTGGGACCTTAGGGGCTTAGCAAGGCTGGCTTTTGGCCTGGTGGCACAGATGAAGGGAAGCTGTAGTAGTTAAGGACAGAGGGAATCAGAAGACGTGGCTTTGCCTTCTCTCACCTGAAAAACGGGGATAACGCTCTCAGTTCACGAATGGGCAGGCATCTCGCGCGTCTCGTGCATGAAAGTGCTTTACTGTTTTTCAACTGCCACAAGAGCACCATTACTGCAGGAGAGGCAGGAGGCAGACAAGTGTGAGTCTTTCTCTGGCAGTGAGTCTCAATCCAGCACTTCTAGAAACACCTGAGGAGTTTTCTGAACTGCAGATTGCCCCAGGCCCCACCCGACTGGCCAAGAATCATCAGCCTTTTGTGAAAGCTCTTGGGTGATATCGATGTGCACCCAAGAGTTGAAAGCTTCTGTCCTAAGGATTTTCTGGGCCAAAATTGACACTCTTAGCTGGTGAACCCAATGAGACCTCAGGAAGGCCCCTCCCTCTTCATATCTCTGACTCTGACCCCACTCCACCCTAAGTGTTACTCCAATTAGAGCGCGGCCTAACTGCAGCCAGCACGTGGAGACAACCAAGCGTTCCGCGAGTTCCTAGCTGCCAAAGGCAGTTTGTTCACGGTGTTTGGACATCCGTGTAATAAAAGCAGTTACTCTGCCGAGCATGGTGCAAAGCACCTTACCTACACTCACTCTACTGGTGAGAGAGGCTCAGGGCATCTGGGCATTGGATCCCTCAGCCTCCTTCCCCCACTCCAGGCTGTGGGAGACTTCAGACGCTGTCCACTCATCACAACCAGGGGCAGGGCCTCTAGCTTGACCACACCTAGCTCACGTGTCCCCCCGCAACACAAATGCAGGTGATTAGATCTGAACTCCTTGGGAAGTCTGCTTGAAAGCAGCATTAATTCTATCCACTTGGGAACATGCAGGCCCTGAGTGCAGATCTGAGAGGCTTTTATAAATTCATTAGTGAAACGTCCTGGGTAAGAGGACACCGACGAGAAGCTCTGCTGTGCTCCTTCTGCCCCTGTGCCTGGCTGGCTGCCTGCCCCTGGACCATCTGCTTTGGGTCCTAGCAGGGGACCTGCCAGGGAAGACGGATGGGCTCCTGCGAGCACTCCCTGCCTGCGGCGAAATGCCTGTGTGGTGATGGTGATAGGGGGCTTGGTTAAGAGGAGCCTCTGAGACATGATTCTTCCTCAGGCCAATCTTAACATTTCATCTGGCTAAATCCCTGGGAGGGTTAGGACAGCCAAAAGGCAAGTTCTAATAGAATGCTTATTAATGCCCATCCCTCCCTTGGCCAGCTGCTGTGTCTTGTCCTAGATTGTCACTCTGGGAACAAAGTACATAGGCACAAACTTCATTTTATGTAAATGAGAGTTTATTGACGAAGACAAAGTCAAGCTTCCCCTGACCCCCACCCTCCCCAAGAACAGATCCCAACAACAAAAGAATGATAAGCCTTCACTGGGCAACGTTTACCCCCCCGCCCCTTCTCTCCAGAGTCCCAGGGTTCACAACACAGACAAACAAAACGTGCTCGGGCGAGGACAGACACTCAGGGAATCTCTGACCAGCAAGAGTTCTGGGTGTGTGTGTGTGTTTCCCTTGCCCTTTGTAAGACACCAGCTGACGTTACAAAGACATACTGAGGCAGAGGAGAGGGGAATGCAGGGCAATCTCCACTCCGATCCCCAGTTTGGCCAGGCTTGAGATGGGCCCAAAGGGAAGCTGCGGTGGAGGCAACAGGCTCTGTCTCCTCAGGAGAGAGGTCCTTTCCGTGGAGCAGAATCCCTCCCTAACTGCTCAGGGGCAAACCGGGAGGCAGCCTCTCCAAGGAGTGAAGAGTTCGCACGCGGATTGGCTCAGTCAGGTCAGCTGAGAACAGCAGCTGTTTCCCCTCACCGCCGGGGAGGCTGAGGGAAGCCTGGTTTCAGGGGTGGAGGAACGTATCTTGGTGCAAAATTGTCTTGTCTGCTTGCCCTGACACACACTCTTCCTTCCGGAACTGCAGTCTGCTTTGAGATGAGAACACTGCATTTGTAGTGTGGACCTTCTTCACTGCTTGTATCCAACTGACTCCACGAGTGACTTCCCAAAAAGGGGACTTTACCCACCTGCTTTTCTACCCCACCTGTCACCAACTGACCCACCTCCCACACACAATCCTGTACTGCTTCCTGCTCTCCACGTGCCTGAGGGGTGGTGAGCGCGGGACATGGCTCCTGACCCTCACCCCAGAAATTCTTCTCTTGGAGATTCTCAAGGTTTAAGAAGCTGCTTTGGGGGATCTGCACCCCCAAACTTTGCAACTGATATGAATCAGAGTCATTTCACTTGCGACAGGGTTGGGGGGTAGTTTCTGCTCTTGTTTTCTATGATTCCTCCTTCTCTTCGACTCACTCTTAGGTCTGGGTCCTACATGAGGCCCTTGGACCCAAGCGCCTCTGATTTGAGCAGGGGCATCTGAGAAGCAGTCTTGGTCACGGACCCTGAATCCTGGGTACTGGTCGGCACAGGTGCCCACAGATGAAACAGTGTGAACACTGCTAAACAGACTGGTGTTCCAGGCATGAAGCATTCTTTGACAGATCACACCCAATGTGCCCAGGGGGCAGGGGGTCCTCACATCTCCCAATCTTTTGAGAGATGAAAAGTATCGCTTGGCCCTCTGAGGTGATCTCAATTGCCTTGGAGCCTAAGCAACACAAGTAAAGAGCAGATCAGAGAACTGAAGGATCAAGTGAATCTGTGGCATCCCGAAGCTCACTTCATCCCTGCACCCATCCTGCTGGCCTCAAGAACTGCGGCTCCAAGGAGACTATTAGCTACTCCTTCATTCTGGCATCAGGATTTACCTTCAAGTCCCTGGAAAGATACTCTGCTGCTACCGGATGCCAATGAATGGAGTGCCAAAATCTGTATGAAGTATGAGAAGAGCCATAAAGAAGCAGGCACAGAAAAGGTAAAAGAAAGGCATTGAAGGAAGAAAATTATGGAGCCGGTCCTGCAGTGAAGACAACACTGATGAGGACTTCGGAGACCCCCTCCCCCACCTCTGCTGCTGATCAGTTAACAGGCCTTAGGCAATAACACCCTGTTTGTCTTTTATCTTTTTCCTTTTTAGAAAAAAAAGGTTGGGTAAGTTATTACTTAAAGTCTGTTTCAACTCTAAAACTAAGATTTTAGATCTGAATTGGACCTGAGAGTTAAAATAAATCCAGAGCGGGAGATGGGGGAAGGGCATTTTGGTTCCTGTTTCCCATCTCTATTCAAATTCCTTAATCAGTGTTATTAATAGATTAGATCAGTGGAAAGGAATGTAGTAAGTTCTCATTTTTCTCAGCCTCAATGCTGACAGGCCCTATTTCCTGCACCCTGCAGCACCATTCAAGAAAGACCACCATTCCTAATTGCAGAGCATCAGAGGAGATGATAATACGGGGCAGGGGGAATCACAAGGAAAAGGAGTTTGGAGAGGAAAAAAAAGTGATCAGGGACAAGGCTGCCACAGACAAAAATCCCCTAATGGGGTGGGCAAGAAACTGCGTCTCTTCCTTCAGGACTGTGCGGTTGTTTTAACACTTTTTATCATTCACACACTATTCCCTCAATTTCTCATATGTACAAAAATATAAAACAATAAAGTGCAGTTTACGTTTCAGTGACACTTTTCCTTGCTTTAATTTTTTTTTGTCTTTTTTCTGCTTTTGAAACGAGCTCTCGATTACAAAATATCAAACTACACTCAAAAATGCCAGCCACTGGTACAGGATGGAGAGGCCCACAAGCAAGGACAGATAGCAGCAGGTGGCACGAGGTGGGAAGTGATTGAAGCAGTGGTTACAAATGGTCACAGGAAGCTAAAACTATCCAACAGGTTGTGCCCTAATGTTAGCACAGGTTAGACTAGTCACTACCTTGGTGGGTGGCCTCAGCGTGTTTGGGTTCGGATTCTACACGGCAATACAATTTTCTTCCAGTTAAGAGTTCTTGGCTTGCACCGATCACAGGGTGGCCAGAGGGCACCGGACCAGTCTATTAGTTTTTCAAAATGCTGTCGTAGACCTGATAGATGTACTGGGAGACTTCAGGAGCTCTACACTTCAGCGACAGCTGTTCGGAGGAAAAGGAGAAGGAAGGTTAGCACAGAGGCTGGCATTAACTCGAAAGGTATCCAAGTACTCAGTGCAAGGACACCTCTTCCTGATAAAAGGGGAGAAGAGCTTCTACCACTGAGTAGCCAAACAAAGAGATCCTGTTAATAGGTTACATGGGTTTTAGAATTTCGGTTTAATCAATGTCAAGCTGTGCTGTGTTTCTAACGACATTCTATGTGGGTCTACGAGGTTAGGAAATAATCCATATGAAAAAATGTACAGGAAAAGATGCTCTACTGCTTTCCTAAGAGTCATAGGGACTACTACCAAATGAAAAGGGAAGGGTTAAAACCCTTAACGTGGTCGTCATTTCAGCTGCCTGCTCCAGTTTCTGTCTGACAAGGATGGTTATCTCGGTCCCAATTCAGGAGGATGTATATTCAAGTAAAATAAAAGCGTAAGCTAGATACTAGCTCCAATGGTACTAGCCTTTCCTGTATTACATTGAGGAGAGCATACACTGTTAAGGAGGGAAAACAAGACATTTACTGAGTGTAACTGTACAGTCATTTATGCCAACAGCATAATCTTCCATTTTCTGCCTCTTATTCAGGCCTATCAGGTACTGCTGATACTACTCTACTTCTCTACCACCACCTCTTCTTCTAGTCTAACAATTACCAAATTAAAATTAAAATATTAAAAAGATTTCAATGTTGAACACTGAGGTTTTCACTTTGTGGGTCAACAAGTGCAAAATTTAAACCCATATTTGGACTCCTGAATTGTACTAGATTAGGCAAAACACTATTAACAATAACATAACAGCAAAACCATGCAAACTGCATTTAGAACCACAAAATTTAATACTTGCTTTTTGTATTACTGACATCATTGCTCTTGACTATTAAGGTAGATTAACAAAAGTTGTCTTTAACGATGTATCACCATGAGATTTTAGATTACCTCCTTATTCTCTTATTAGAGACTCTGGATGATTTAACAAAGTACAAAAGGTGAGAATATTTTTGGCAAAAATGTCAAGAAGATGATTGGTCAACCCTGAACTTGAGAAAACTCACATCCTCAAAACTTAGTGATATTTTAAAAATGCAAAACGAAACAAAACCAAGCCAAACAAAAGAACATCAAAAGAGGCTCTATTTATTTGCAGCTTTAATATTCAGTCTCTAAGGCATTTCCAAAATTGCTGCTTGACATGAATCAGGAAGACAATTCTGATAAATGTAGAACAAAACAAATGAACACCTAATTTAAGAATGTAAATACAAATAGAGGACTTCCCTGGTGGTGCAGTGGTTAAGAATCCGCCTGCCAATGCAGGGGACACGGGTTCAATCCCTGGTCCGGGAAGATCCCACATGCCGCGGAGCAACTAAGCCCGTGAGCCACAACTACTGAGCCTGTGCTCTAGAGTCCGCAAGCCACAACTACTGAGCCTTCACGCCACAACTACTGAAGCCCGCGTGCCTAGAGCCCATGCTCCACAAGAGAAGCCATCGCAATGAGAAGCCCACGGACCGCAACAAAGAGTAGCCCCCGCTTGCCGTAACTAGAGAAAGCCCACGTGCAGCAACGAAGACCCAACACAGCCATAAATAAATAGTTAAGTAACAAAACAAAACAAAAAAAAAACGAGTAGAAAACAGCTCCCTTCTTTGGTCAAAGTTGCAGCTATAGGCATTTCCCTGACTTTCAAGCTCCCTATAGAGGCAATCTGTACCTCCTCCTCCACAGCCTCTTCACTGTCAGTGTTGTAGAAAATTCTCGTGGGAGAGTATGTGGGTTCAGAAAAGGAGGAGGAGAGGAAGCTAAAAAGAGTTAAGAACTGCCTAAGGGAGTTAACTCCCAGACTAAAGAGAGGGTAGTTCCTCCCCTTCAAAATACTGTCCTGTATTTTTTCACATCTTTGTAGCAATACTGGAACTTCCAACCAGTTGGAAATCCACTTTTTCGTTCATGAGTGATAAGGAAATGTTGCCTTCCTCAATAAAAGCCCTATCTGCCAAGGTTGGCACTGGCAGGGGTCATGGACTGACCACACCTGGACCCTGAGAGTTTCAGCTGCTCTTTGGAGGGGGAAGGAGGGAGGCGAAGGAAGAGAAGGAAGAACCTCTCTTTCTGGACTGTTCTATCACCTCCCTCCCCCAGACATCCCAGCCTTTAACAAATGGTTAAGTTTAGACTTAAACCCATTCCTTGCTTTCCAACTAGTACAGCTAAAGCAAGCCAAATTTAAAAAAAAAAAAAAGATTTTTTTTTGTTGTTGTTGCTAATTCCTAAAGAAAGCAAAAGGGAAACATACATAAAGAACAAAGAGGCTAAAAAATCTCACTTAGGACTCTGGGTCTCATTTTACATGGCTCCTCAGGGAAAAGAGGCCTTACCAGGATTTTAACTTTTGAACCGCTAGCCTGCTTATGTGACACATCTTTAACACCAACCACTCAGGAATGCCACCCACCTAGACTCACCCCCCCGCCTAGGTAAGCCAAGGACTTACACATGCACTTCTGGTTTATAGCCTGGAACACAGACTTCTTCACCTGGGACAAGTTATCTTCCCAGGTGAGACAGAGCTACTTAGAGATATGAGGCCTCTTCCTCATGGGATAAACATACTTTCTTAATGAAATACAGTAAGGGGTTGGGGGAAGTGATTTATCATGTAGTGCACCACTACTTGGTCATAAAAAAACACATGCAACAACTTAGATAGATGTCAAGGGTATTATGTTAAGTGAAAAAAAAGTGTCAAAAGGATACAGGCTGTAGGAATTGAATTTATATAACACTCTTGAAATGAGAAAGTTACAGTAATGGAGAACAAACATACCAGTGGTTGCCATGGGTTAGGGCTAGGGTGAATGTCTAACTATAAAGAGATAGCGAGAAGGAGTTTTTTTGTGGTGATGGAACAGTTCTGTATCCTGACCGTGGTGGTGATTATACAAATCTATATGTGTGATAAGATTTCATAGTACTGTACACTCCTTAACCAAATAAAATAAAGTAAGAGTAATGATGTAGAAACTGGTGAAATCTGAATAAGGTCTGTAGCTTAGTTAATAGTATTGTGCCAATATCAATTTCCTGCTTGAAAATGTACTATGGTTGTAACATGTTCTCAATGAGGAAAACTGGGTGAAAGATACATGGGAACTCTATGTACCATTTTTAAAACTTTCTGTGAGTCTTAAATTCTGTGAGTCTTAAACTTTCTGTGAGTCTTAAATAAAAAGTTTTAAAAAATTTTAAACAAACTATGCTGTTACTAAGAGGTCCTTCTCAAAATCCTCACTATCCTTAAAATGAATAGAAAGAATATGGTAGGAAGTGTTGAGATACCTGAGTTCTACACACAACTCAGCTACCAACAACTCATATGATCTCGAACAAGTCACTAATCATTCTTAACCTTGGTTTCCTTACCTGCAAACTGGGGGTAATCATGCTTCTTCAACCTAGCTGAGATGGAATACTATATACAATAAAATAATGGATGATAAAAAATAAAACACACACAAATATATATACTTTGAAGAAATTTCTGGGGAAGCAAATGGAGTTATTTTACAAGACCTTGATTTTACAGTGAAAACCTGTCCCTCCAGGAAAAGTACAGAGAAGATTTCCTTTCTTAGGGAGCTCAAGGAAAATGACAGAGTAGTTTCTTACAAAAAAGACAAGGCACTGGTCATGGAGGAGGTGGGTGGGAGGAGCATACACTTTATGAGGGAAGCCTGAAGTCTCTCAGCTCACAAATGCTTGGACAAACATCTAGCTTGGTGGAACTCAGTAGCTCACACACACACACATGCTAGTCCAGTTTACTTCAAGGGAGGGAACTAGTGGGAAGACACCAAGAATTTTTAGTTCTGGTGGTATTATTTCCTTGATGTATGCTAATGAAAACAGACTTGCCTTAAAATTAAGGAGTCACAGACTTTTCTCAGCTACATGGCTAAAAAGCTCCCTTAATCTACTGAATATGAAGCTTCCTCAGAGTTATTCAATTCAAAAGCCTTAAACATAACAGAAGAATAAGATATTTCCCCCATCGCAAGGGTTTTTCTTGTACTTGACAAAATGCAGATGACAAGCAGCATCCTATTGGGAGACTGCATTTCACAACAGCAAACAAACACTGGGTGCCTAGGTATTAAAGCTTTGTTGTTTAACAAAGCAACTGGCTCCTCCCCTAAAAATACTGCCAGGATTCCAATTTTAGTCCAGTGTGGTAATGAATGAAGTTTTCTAAACTAAAGTCCCCTTACAGGCTGTGAAAGGTATGTCCCATTTTGCTTTAACTTTTCAACAACCATTTAGGCCACACAACACTGCTAAAAAGGCTCATATGTCTGGGATTCTGATATCCTAAGAAAAGCAGGAATGAGCTTGAAATGAGCTACGAAAACAGTCCTCTTAGCAGCTTGTTACAGTACCACATGCATAGACATGCTAGGTTAAGTATTAACCAATACTGATGAAGTTTTGTGAGCAGCTCTGTATATACCAGGAGGAGTCTGAGACTCATGCTGGGAGGCACTGTGCCTGCTGGATGGGGCAGACACTACAGACAGAAGGTCTTCTAAGGAGGCAACTGGGGACTTCTTTACTGACTGCTTGTTTTGGATACCTGGCGTCTGAAGCACCTCTACCAGGTCTTTCCTGGATGCTGAGAAAAAATGAAAGGGCTCTTACCCCCCTCCTTGAACCCATCTCACCCATTCTGAGAAAGGCCTTACCGTGTAATTGGGGTTTCCTGGCTGGATACGTAGCTCAGCCAAAATCCAAATGCCATTAGTGAGCTTCAGGGATTGGTACAGCATGTCCTGCCCTTCCACATTCCTCTTGGCAATAGTATAAACATTGTTGTTTTGCAACTTGCTGGAAACAGTGTCTAGAAACACAGATTCAAAATCCAACACCTTCAGTTAAAATATCAAACAAATGTGCTATGAGCTATGTGTGCTCAAGTCTCCTGAGAAGCACTGTTACATGCATACATGCACATTTCAGAAAGCCCTTCTCCCACAAGAGCGAAGGATAAGGAAGAAGCTCCTGAAGTGCCTGTCCATCACATTCCAGGACAGAAAACAGAATAAGGTGCAAATAAGCATTAGTGTAAGAATTACCTGTGGAGATTATGGTGTGTCTAAGGAGTTGGTAATCTTAAACTAGGTGTTAGACACGTAAAAATGCACTGACGAGGACAAAGACAGAAACAGGTACATGGGTGTGCCACAGTGACTGCCACGTCAGATTCATCTCTCCAACGCTAGTCCCAGATTCACGGGGATACAAAACTGACACTCAAATGCACAACACTGCCTCGCAAGTTGCTACTACTTCACCGTAAGCCATTCTGGTCTCAAGTGCCAGGATCAGAAAAGCACCCAGTTGCAGAAATCCCGCAAGTCAAATTTATTAATCTGGATGTTTTAAGATTTTTTTAAAAGCAGGCAAATGATTTCTTAGGTCTTAAATTATTAATTTGGGGGAATACCATGCCCCAAATTAATAATGAAACAAACTGTCTCAACAAAAGACTCTGAGGAAGACTGAAGTTGTGCAAAGATGATTGCTCCAAGGCCATGTAAGCCCGGCTGCCGTTGCTGGTCAGAGTGGAGGACTTCATAGTCACCAACACAGGGTAAGAACAGGCTGGTGTTCGGGGTCTTCCTTGTGACTACAGCATCAGAGACACATGACATTCTAGAATTAAAGGTAATTTCTCTCTCCTTGTTCTCTGACTGCTAACATGAGATGTTGCAGCATCACAGAAAGAGAAACTTTAAAAACACAGATGATAAACACTACTTCTTTGTTGATAGTTTATCATGTTCATTTCTGATGAGAATTCAAATTACTCAGGGACTAAATTCTCTCCACATAAAATCCTGTCATGTTCTATTGTGTTCTCTAGGAAAAGGTTGTTGTGAGGGACAGTCTTTCTGTTCTCCAAGACAGTAAGTAAGCTCTCTGAGCATAGGGATCCTAGAGTTTTTCATCACTGTATTTCCCACAGTATCTGGGACACAATGGATACCTGCCATCAATACCTGTGAATAAGCCTCTGACTCAGGTGTTGGAGACGCTGATATGTACATAATGCCATAGGCATTAAAAAACATCTATTTAAGACACTTCTCCAAAGAAGAAATACAGATTACCAATAGGCAAATGAAAAGATGCTCAACATTTCTAATCGTTAGAGAAATGCAAATCAAAACTACAATGAGGTACCACCTCACACCAGTCAGAATGGCCATCATTAAAAAGTTTACAAACAATAAATGCTGGGACTTCCCTGGTGGCGCAGTGGTTAAGAATCCGCCTGCCAATGCAGGGGACACGGGTTCGAGCCCTGGTCCGGGAAGATCCCACATGCCGTGGAGCAACTAAGCCCGTGTGCCACAACTACTCTAAAGCCCGTGTGCCTGGATCCCGTGCTCCAGAACGAGAAGCCACTGCAATGAGAAGCCCGCGCACCTCAACGAAGAGTAGCCCCCACTCGCTGCAAGTAGAAAAAGCCCACGCAGCAATGAAAATCAAACGCAGCCAAAAAATAAATAAGTAAACAAATTTATTAAAAAAACAAACAAACAAGTAATAAATGCTGGAGAGGGTGTGGAGAAAAGGGAACCCTCCTACACTGCTGGTGGGAATGTAAGTTGGTGCAGCCACTATGAAAAACACCACGTAGATTCCTCAAAAAACTAAAAACAGAACTACCATATGATCCAGCAATCCCACTCCTGGGCGTATATCCAGAAAAAACTATAATCCAACAAGACACACGCACCCCCACGTTCACAGCAGCCGAGACATGGGAACAACCTAAACGTCCATCGACAGATGAAGGGACAAAGAAGATGTGGCACATATATACACAATGGAATACTACTCAGCCATAAAAAACAATGAAATAATGCCATTTGCAGCAACATGAATGGAACTAGAGATTATCATACTAAGTGAAGTCAGAAAGACAAATACCATATGATATCACTTATATGTGGAATCTAAAATACGACACAAATGAACAAACCTATGAAACAGAAACAGACTCACAGACACAGAGAACAGACCTGTGGTTGCCAAGAGGGTGGGGTGGGAGAGGAATGGAGTGGGAAGTTTGGGTTAGCAGATGCAAACTATTATATACAGAATGGATAAACAACAAGGTCCTACTGTACAGTACAGGGAACCATATTTAATATCCTGTGATAAACCATAATGGAAAAGAATATAAAAAGAATGTATATATGTGTATAACTGAATCACTTTGCAGTACAGTAGAAATTAACACAACACTGTAAATCAACGATACTTCAGTAAAAAAAATCTCTGCTAAGAAAAAAACCCTTTATTTATTTATTTATTGGAAGTATAGTTGATTTACAATATTGTGTTAGTTTCAGGTGTACAGCAAAGTGATTTGGATATATATACATATATATGTATATACATACACACACACTTTTTCAGGTTCTTTTCCATTATAGGTTATTACAAGATACTGAATATGGTTTCCTGTGCTATACGATAAATCCTTTTTGTTTATCTGTTTTACATACAGTAGTAGTATGTATCTGTTAATCCAATACTCCTAATTTATCCCTCCCCCACTTTTCCCCTTTGGTAACAGTAATCTTGTTTTCTGTTTGTGAGTCTAAAAACCACCTATTTAGAGGTGGTCTAATTTTAGAGGTAGTTTTTTTTTTAAATTTTTATTGGAGTATAGTTGATTTACAATGTTGTGTTAGTTTCTGCTGTACAGCAAATTGAATCAGTTATACATATACATCTATCCACTCTTTTTTTAGATTCTTTTCCCATATAGGTCACTACAGAAAATTGAGCAGAGTTCCCTTTGCTATATCGTATTGATAGGTCCCTATTGGTTATCTATTTTATATATAGTAGTGTGTATATGTCAATCCCAATCCCCCTTGGAGGTAGCTCTTGCCCTGATGTCTTTCTTCCACATTCAAACCAGTGACAGCTCAAGCGAGGAGGCACTAAAGCCCATTCGTTAAACAACTGCACCACACTTACTTATGACTTAATTTCCCTCCTTTTATTTCCAAGGTTTTCACTAACACCAAGCAGAGTAGTTAAAACTCAAGAATTGGTTCTCTTTGAGGAGCTAAAAAGTATATCTCAAGGTTGTTATATGCAAGACTGCTGAAGGAGAGGGCCTCGGTATGCTTTTTAATCACCTTTTGCAGGTTCAGGCAGTTCTGGCTGTCACCTTGGTTCCCACAATGAAGGGCTCTTGCAGCTCAGACTGGACTGCCAGGCAACATCACCAGCTGGAGTTTGGCTAATGCCTTTTGACAGGACTGTCTTAAATACAAAGGGGGCGGGTGGCTTCCCTGGTGGCGCAGTGGTTAAGAATCTGCCTGCCAATGCAGGGGACACGGGTTCGAGCCCTGGTCCGGGAAGATCCCACGTGCCGCGGAGCAACTAAGTCCGTGCACCACGACTACTGAGCCTGCGCTCTACAGCCCGCGAGCCACAGCTACTGAGCCCGCGCGCCACAACTACTGAAGCCCATGTGCCTAGCAGGAGCTTTTGTTGAAGATCTACCTTGTTGCATAGGCACATGTTCTAGACAATATACATAGCAAGGCCCAGATGCCTACAGATGTCTCGTGATTTTACCACCTAAGTAAGAGATAATAGGCTAAGAAATGGAAGCACACAGACACACATACACACTCACCCCTTCCAGAATTAGAAAATGTGGCAAACAGCCAGGTAGAATAAGCAAGTTGAATGGATGTAACTTTACTGTGTTTGGAAGCATTCCAGTTAGGAACCTGGCTCTGCTCCTACTAAATGGCTGTTATCGTGATTTCTATCAGAAGACTGAATGGAGGGAGGAGGGTTCTATAACATAAGTATGTGTGAGCCCATGTGCCTAGCAGGAGCTTTTGTTGAAGATCTACCTTGTTGCATAGGCACATGTTCTAGACAATATACATAGCAAGGCCCAGATGCCTACAGATGTCTCGTGATTTTACCACCTAAGTAAGAGATAATAGGCTAAGAAATGGAAGCACACAGACACACATACACACTCACCCCTTCCAGAATTAGAAAATGTGGCAAACAGCCAGGTAGAATAAGCAAGTTGAATGGATGTAACTTTACTGTGTTTGGAAGCATTCCAGTTAGGAACCTGGCTCTGCTCCTACTAAATGGCTGTTATCGTGATTTCTATCAGAAGACTGAATGGAGGGAGGAGGGTTCTATAACATAAGTATGTGTGAGTCAATTTTCATAAACCTTCGCTATCAGGTTTGAGTTAGAGGGTATGTAGATGGCAGGATAATCAGACTCTGCTAAATGAACCTATTAAGAACGGCAATGCGAGCCAATGTTAAGGAGGCTTCCTTGTCAGACTGGGATAGACTTCTTTACAAGATGTCAGTTTTTTGTAGTTGTTGTTGTTTTAAATATACCTGAACTCCTGGGAAACATGATGGAATCTTACAGTTGTGAGACTTTGAGAATGACAATGCAATGTTAAGACACTGAGATTTGCCCTAAAGGACAGAGTTTTAAAAGATGGTCAAATATGGTTACAAGTGCATCAAGGTGTGATTTCTTTTGGTTCATTTGTCTCCTACCTCAAATCTGGCTTTGGGCCTGAGGCCTGAAGTCTTAGAAGGTGTGAATGTGGTCTTCCCTCCTTCATTTTCCTACTTTAGCCAAGGTCACATCTCTTCCAGCAGCCATAAGAGTGAAGGTACCCAGTGAGTGGCAAGGGGGAATCTGTACATGGGTCCCAGCTGCGGTACATACTGATCAGCAAGTTCAAAGCCATTGTGCTTTGCTGAAAAGGACACTTCTTACCATCTGAACAACCAAACTATACTTAAGTGCTGGCTGGCAAAGCATTTGCATTTATGCAATGTTCCGAGGGATGGGGAGAACCACGACAAAACAAAGAAACAGAACTCATCCTCACCTAGTCCCTGTGGCAGAAGAAATATTTGTCCCTTATAAGAGAGCCCAACTAGTGAATATAGATACAACATGTCTCTGAGCTCTTCACAGTATAATAAACAGTTAATTTAAAAAACAGGTTTGTAGATTGCTTGCCAGAAAGATTCCTTTCTGGATATGGCTGGAGATGCAACTACTTCTTGTATACTTAAGATAGTGGTCCCAGACATGTACTAAGCCCAAATACAGCTACAATATAAGCTGTAAAACAGACTCATACAGACCGCTTGATGCCAGTAGAGATGACCAGTGCTAGGAAGCAGGGAGACCCAAACATTGGTGCCTTTCTGATCTAATATTTTCTAGTATTTACACAACTAGTGGCACCATAAGCACCCCATCATATACACCTTTCTATTAAGAACTGATAAATGATTAAGGCTTAGGAAGAGGGTTTCTTTTCTTCTTTCATCTCTAGAAGACATGGAAGAGCAAAAGTAAAAGCTCAACGCTAGGTGGTCAGCCCTTTAAGCCTGCGACTTCCTGTTGCCCTCAGAGTGTTAGCTCCATCTGTCAAATGTCTACTCTGGCACAAAAAAGCTATTTAAAGGGTTGGTGCTATTGTGATTAGGACAGATCAGCTGGGAAGGATGGTATTTTTAGCTCTCAGCTAGACCCAGGGTGTTCAATCAGAAGGCACTAAACCCGAAAACATTCATGTTAATAGAGCCCTCAGACTGGAAGGAAATGTAAAGGCCAGGGTACTCCAGACCTTGGGGTGGAGGCAGAGGAAAAGCTAGAAAGGATTAATTGCAGGAAGTGGTCTTGTAAGCGATGAGCAATGATTCAGTGTGGGAAATGATGGCCTCAGGCTCCTGGAGAAAACGAAGTGGCTGTTTTTCCCTCTGCTCCATGTGCTGCACTGCCACGTGCTGCACTGTGTGTCACTGGAAAACTGATTCGCTGGTATCTGGAGCACCCGAGGCAGGGAGGAACTGGCATGAGGCCATGGCAGAACTGATCAAAACTGAATTTGCTTTGGGAAACTGTTCCAGTTTACATCAGAAGCCAAAGACCCTTTGGGAGCAAGAGGAGCAAGACCAGACACCCCTTCTTTGGGCAAGATCACACATGTACACCAAGGTTCAACAAGGGTTCAGAACCCCAATCTGGAAGCAGGGGGATCTTTTCTATAACTCTGACAGGCCACAGTAAAGCCCTCAATCATCCAAACTTCCATTTTCTTTTCTGAAAAAGCATGTCCCTTTCACACCAGACCTCTGAAACCAAATCTGCTTTCCAATTACTCTGGCCTTTCTCTGCTCTCTATAGGCCAGAGTTTCCCAGATCGTGCATGTTCAAGGAACACTGGTGTTCCATAAGACGTTAATAATAAGCATTTTGTGACTTTAAACTCCACAGCGAAAAAATTCAGTTAACGTTGAGGTAAACTGGTTTCCTCGATGCAGGAGGCCTCAGCTTCTAGTGTGCTCACGTGCAATGGCAACACCCAAGAGAGGCACATCATATGCTGTATTTTCCAACTTTTTTGACCACAGAACCCTTTTCTGAGGGACAAGTGTTCTCAGGAGCATAATAAATGAAATGCCCTGGGACTGACTACACGAGGGTGACTATAACTCTCGCCATGAACCACTGCAGATTCTGCACCTGGAGCTTCCTGAAAAACAGCTTACACAATGGAAGACTGCCCAACCTCCCAACTCATCAAATGAGGCTTGTGGTAACTAACCAGTGAGCCTAGCAGAGAGATAACACCGTCACCTACCTAGAATACGGCATAAAAAGCAGCTCAATTTAAGTATGACTTTTTTGTGAAAACTCAGCAAAAATCTGGTTTTGTTTAATAACTACATAACCAGTCAGGCTGAAAAACCCAGACCAAGAATATGTTCCAAAGAAGGCAGATATGTGGTATTCCTGAAGAGAATCGACAAACTAGTAGCGACAGTGGACATTACAGAAAACTATCTCCTTAAACACCTCTCCAAGGGCTCAGGAGAAGCCGTATAAGAAAAGACTTGTCTGAACACAGAGGATGGATGCATCATAGAGCACTCCCACTCCCCGCAAAAAAACTTTTTAAAGAACAAGTTGAACTGAGAAGACAGTGAGTTGTTTTTTTTTTTTTTTTCTTTTTCTTTCTGTACTGCTATACTGCCTCTTTCCCCCACTCAATGCTCCAGCTACAGTGGGAGGGCGGCAGCCAGAAGGAGGAAAGGACGGGTGAATGAAGAAAACAGGAAAAGAGGCGGCACCCAACAGCACCAAGGCTCACTTTCATTAAAACGCCTTTCATTTCATAAGGCCTTATACTAACTTCAAAGAGAGACTGGAACAAAGGCAAGACCCTGAACAGCTGAAGGCTCCTTCCACTCCTGAGGATGCTTCAGTGAAACAAAGCCCTAGGCAGTGTCAGCTGCTATTGTTTCTCCTCCTGGGCTCCCCAGTTTGACGTTCTAGTACAGTAATAAACCTAACTACTAAGGGGGCTGGAGCTTTTTCATGGTGATTAAAGAGGTCAGTATAACCATATGAAAGCTGACACAAGGCAAGAAAGAAAAAGGCTACCAACTAGGCTTTAATCAACTATGATGTAGTCTTATTTAATAGTAAACACAGGATTCCAAATAAGGATCTCAGAAAGAGTCACTACTGAAGGCTGATGTAAAATGACAAACAGCCCTTTTAATTTTTAGGAGAGTGCATATCTTCAAGTGCCACTTCAATTACCTAATGCTTAGAGTGTTCAAGTAACACGACTCATCCATGTTCAACTACTAGAGAATTGGGTGGGTGGATCCATTCTAGTTCTCTTCTTAAATCTGTTAGTTTGTAAGTAATCTAGTACCTACATCAAAACATCCCAAGTTTTTAAAGAGAAGTTTGCAAAGTAATACCATATACTCACTAGAAATAAGGTAGGTGTGAAAAGGTAGGTAAAGGAAAGACAACATGTTCAAATATCTAATTCAACACTCCGCGATGAAAATGAAATTTAGACTCATCACTCACCAGCATTTAAATGGCACTCCTTAATCTGAAACTGAAGTTCATTTTCATTGGGGATATCCTTCCATGTTGCAAGGAAGACCTGGCGCTCTGTACGGGGAAGCAGAGGGAAAGGAAGGATGTGCACAATCTGTCAATATTCTGACATCTAAGCCCTTGTACCACTTCTCCTTTGGAGTGCCGGTTCTAGCAATACAGCCAGCAGTAGCCTGGGACTGGAGTCAACTCCTAGCTATGCAGAGGTGCTACACTCCAGGTCAATTAATCCCTCATGAGTAGCACTAAGATACACTGGAAAAAAGTCAACATCTAGGGTTTAGTTTTGCCTCCACTGTTTTCCTATTTGGGTGACTTAGGTAAGTCTTGTGATCTTTCTGATCCTTAATTTCATCATATATTATTACATCTGCCTACCCTACCCAAAGAGCTACTGTAAGAATGAAACCAATGTTAAGTGCCAATACAACTTCATATGTAGCAATACAAGCTAGTTTTATTAGATGGTGGTTTCCTAAGGAAGGGAAGAGAGAAATATCAACAACCACATGGGGAATACCAATAAATTTATCCCAAATTATTGAATTCTTATCTTGAGACAGTAAGAACTCAGGACAGGGCTAAATGCTGAATTTCCATGTATTATCTCAAGTCATTATAAAAACTATTTCTGCTTTGTAAACTTGGAAACTGAAACTCAGAAAATTTAAGCACCTTGCTACAGTCACATAGCTGGTAAATAGCCAAGCTGAGATTCAAATCCACATCTACTTGTCACCAAGCCACTTACTCTGTATGCTGTGGTGACTGGCTTATTCGGACAATAGGCATTGTGACTTGGAGACCAACAGCAAAGCAAGATCAACTGTGACTCAGGAGAATATATAATTAGCAATTATTAGAGCTTTAGAATAGCCTTCCTCCATTTTTTTAAACCTCAAAACAGCTTGTCCTTCCGGGGCTATGCTCTGCCTGACACATTCAGAGAAAGAGCGAAGGTGTATTTGGCAGGACAGGAGGACATACTTACCCATTTTGCCATCTTCTACAAAAAGCACGTTGAGTGGGATGAGGCAGCTGAAGTAGAAGACATCAATATTGTTTTTCACAGCCACCTGCCAGTAAAGTAGCAAGGGAAAATTAGGACATCATAAGAAGCCAGGTAGGAGGGAAAGAACAGTTATGTGTCTAGAAATAAATCACCCAATTTCCTTCCTATTTATTTATTTTTAAATATTTATTTATTTATTTGGTTGCGCTGGGTCTTAGTTAGTTGCGGCACATGGGATCTAGTTCCCTGACCAGGGATCAAAGCTGGGCCCTCTGCATTGGGAGCACGGAGCCTTAGCCACTGGACCACCAGGGAAGTCCCAAAAACCTGTTATTTATTTAGCCTCACTGCACGGCATGTGGGATTTTAGTTCTCCGACCAGGGAATAAACCTGCGCCCCTTGCATTGGAAGCGCAGAGCCTTAACCACTGTACGGCCAGCGAAGTCCCTCCTTCCTCTTTTAGACAGGGCAGGAAACCCCAAATCAAGACATACCAGCCCATACACTGCAAAGCATGTCCTTATTCACTCCACTGTCAAGAGCACCGTGGACAGCCTGCAACTCTGCCTTGCTCCAGGAGGGGCCCCAGGAGGAATGAATTCAAGGCACAAATTCTATACCTGCGATATCCAGTCAGTTGTTTTAATAGTAGTTTCTGCTACCACTTACTAAGTACCTATTAATGAGAATATTTCTAATCCTCATTATAACTATCCCAAACAAAGTACTATTACTACCCTCTCATTTTACAGATGAGGAACTGAGGTTCAGAAAGATTAAGTAACATCCAGTATCATACTGTCAGTACACGGAAGAACCAGGATTCAAATGCAAAATTGACTCTAAACCTTGTTTTTTTTCTCTCCACAATAACTGGTGGCATACTGCCCCTTATCTTTTTTCAGGTATCAGTTTTAAAGCTCTTTCTTTTATAAAATCTTACTTTCCTAAGTCATATGGCTGGAAAAGCTTGCTGGGTCAAACACTCGTAAATCTGATGACTCTCGGAAGGAAAAGCCTTTGAACAAATGAAGAAATGAGTTTTCTTCTCACAATACAAACTTCTGGATTTGGGCAGGCTGTGATTCTACCATGGCCCATTCAATCCAGGGCATGCTGTTCATATTTTTTAAAAAGCTATAATAAGTACCTGTGTTCAGGGGCAACACTGATTGGTGTCTCTATTCAGAAACAGGCAGACTCCACCGTGGCAGATTATAAGAGCCATATACTGTAAGAGGGGAGAGTAGGAGAAGAACTGCTCGAAACTACCACTTCCCACTGGTTCCTGTCACTGGTGACTTTCCTATCTATGCTCTTGGCACTGCAGAAAACCATTTCTCTGGGTGAGTTTTATAATCAGTAACCAAGTCTATTTCTCTCTAAGAAAATAAAGGTAAAAAGTGCTTATCTAGCACCACTATTCTCTCCCCGCCCCTTCTTGGGGCAAATGCCTATAACTCCAACAGCATATTGAGATTGAAATATCCTCTTTCCGAAGTACTTCCAGTTCTTTTACATTTGTTATCAACTCATCTTCCCCACCTTTTTTTCTTTTGTCTGCATTGGGTCTTCGTTGCTGCGCAGCACGGGCTTTCTCTAGTTGTGGCGAGTGGGGGCTACTCTTCGTTGTGGTGGGTGGGCTTCTCATTGCGTTGGCTTCTCTTTGTTGCAGAGCATGGGCTCTACGCACGTGGGCTCTAGAGCGCAGGCTCAGTAGTTGTGGTGCACGGGCTTAGATGCTCCGTGGCATGTGGGATCTTCCCAGACCAGGGCTCGAACCCGTGTCCCCGGCATTGGCAGGCGGATTCTTAACCACTAAGCCACCAGGGAAGTCCCTTCCCCACCTTAAATAGTACCTTTATTTCATCCTCCATAATTTGGTTTGGGTATGTCTACTTGATATCTTTCTGCCCTCTTTCCTATAAGAATTCATCAAATTACTTTCCTTGTAACTTGTACATTTAACCTTTCAATGACCCACACCCAGGAGTTTCTGACCTATATCACATAATCAGATGCCCAAAATGCTGAGACAGCAGGAGTCTCAAAAAGCTTGAGTCTGGTGAATACAAGCAGAGTAACTAACCTCAGGAAAGAGGGACCTTAGACATTCTTTAAGATGTACTAGAGCACCACATCAAAAGATCTATACCAGCTGTGGGCTTCTGGGAAGGAGGTATTTTCTAATTCATCTGGTACTCAGCAATGAGAGAACGGGAACTCTTATTTCAAATAAGGGCACCAAGAAGACCTTGAGGGAGTGCCAGGCTCTGTAAAGGTCATTTAGAAGTGAAAACTGGAAGTGGTTCAAGTGGGCTAGCGTGGGTCATATGTCCTCCAAGAGGTAATATTAGTGGTTCTCAACCAAAGACTTATATTAGAATCATCTGGAGAGATTTCTCAAAACAGAATCCGGGACTCCATCCTGTATTAAAAAAACAGCAATCCCTAAATCTGGGACCTGGAACATGTATTTTGGAAAAAGTTCCTAGGAAGATCAACAAGTAATTAATTTAGAACAATGTTACCTAAGAAGTCTGTGTGGGCTTATAAATAGATTGTTCATCTGAGGGAATCCTTATTCCAACTGAAGCCCTTTAACAATGGAAAAGACATGCAAATCTCTTCTAGGTCAGCAGTGCTAAAACCATTCTGCCCCAAGTACCCTTCTGACAAACAGATGAAAGTCAGGGACCTTCTTTCTGAAAACCGTACATGCAATGTTTCCACAAAAACTTCAGGGGTTTCAGGACACCCTGAAGACTATCCCTGGACTTCTGCTCTAGAATTCTCTGAGAAGCTGGGACACCCAAATCAGAGGCAGCAGGCACAGTGGCTCTGAACACGGACTTGGGAACCAGACCAGACCACCTGATTTCAAATGCTGACTCTGTTACCTACTAGCTGTGTGACTTTGGGCAGTAGTACTCAGCTCAGTCTCCGGTCTGAAGGATGGAGATAACAAACAGGACCAAATGCACGGGGTTGTTATGAGGCTAACGAGTAAATGTTTGCAAAGCACTTATCATGGTGCCTGACTTACAATTAAGTACTATTAACAAATGTTTCTCAAAGAAAAGTTCCCTCTTCTTTCACCATTTTCTGCTTTACCTTTTTACTCAGAATTTTTCATAATTAAGGATAACCACATTAGGCATAATATTTGACATCTTACACATGCTCAAATGTAGTATTACAACTATGCTAACAAGAGCTCAGTGAGGAAGCGTTTCATCTGTTTTACATTAGATTTTCAAAATCTGCATCTTGCAGCTCTCAAACTTTTACTCTTGGCTATTTTTTTAGGACCACATTTATTTCAAATGTATATGGTTCCCTTGGATCTGGGCCCTGCCTACCTCTCCAGCCTATTTCCTTAACTTCAAGCACATCAGAATTACTTCTTGCTCCCCAAACACTGAAACTGACATGCTGTTTCTTGTCAGATGTTGTTCTTTCTGCTTAATATGTTCTTCTCCTAAAACTTTATCTGTCTGGAAAATATCTATTTAATCTGAAGATGCAGTTCAAGCTTGACAAGGGTTTCTCAGGAAGGCTCTAGTTCCTCTCCGTAGCACCCAATCCATGCACCTCTATATAGAATAAATAATTGTTTATCTCCGCCTCACCCACAACACAATGATCTCTCTCTCAGTGCAGGGGCTCTCATCTTCATTCGCATTCTAGTGACTCAATAAGTATTTGCTGCATGAAATTTAAGGGGAAGAAGTTGAGCAAATGAAATGAAACACTGGTTTCTCAACCTTTTTTTTTTTCCTTTTTAACCTGTACATCGTTCATATGCAGAACATAATTTCAGGGACTTCCTTGGTGGCACAGTGGTTAAGAATCCGCCTGCCAATGCAGGGGACATGGGTTCAAGCCCTGGTCCGGGAAGATCCCACATGCCATGGAGCAACTAAGCCCATGTGCCACAACTACTGAGCCTGCGCTCTAGAGCCCGTGAGCCACAACTACTGAAGTCTGTGTGCCACAACTACTGAACCCATGTGCCACAACTACTGAAGCCCATGTGCCTAGAGCCCGTGCCCCGCAACAAGAAAAACCACCGGAATAAGCCTGCGCACCGCAACGAAGAGTAGCTCCCACTCGATGCAATTAGAGAAAGCCTGTGCCGCAGCAACAAAGACCCAACGCAGCCATAAATAAATAAATAAATTTATTTTAAAACCCCCATAATTTCACCAGTAACATGGCTCATTAGGCACAAAGATACTTGATGAGGCAAGGATGGGGGGACAGAATGATACGTGGGCTCTTTTGGTTTCAAATTCACTGGGCTAAAATAATATTTAGATGTTGAGGAAGAATAACATAGGCAGTAGATCACAACCCAAAGAATATTAGATTCTCCAAGGATATGCCAATAACTCTTCGGGAGTCTCAGCAAAAAAGATTCAAGGAAAACACAGTATGAAGCCAGTCCAATTCCAATCCAGACGGCAGCTCTCTCTCTTTTTAAATTTTTATTTATTTATTTTGGGCTGCGTTGGGTCTTCCTTGCTGCGCACAGGCTTTCTCCAGTTGTGGCAAGCCGGGGCTACTCTTCGTTGCGGTGCGCAGGCTTCTCACTACGGTGGCTTCTCTTGTTGCAGGGCATGGACTCTAGGTGCGCAGGCTTCAGTAGTTGTGGCACGTGGGCTCAGCAGCTGTGGATGACGGGCTCTAGAGCACAGGCTTGGTAGTTGTGGTGCACAGGCTTAGCTGCTCCGCAGCACGTGGGACCTTCCCGGACCAGGGTTCGAACCCATGTCCCCTGCATTGGCAGGAGGATTCTTAACCACTGTGCCACCAGGGAATTTCCCAGATGGCAGCTCTCTTAAACAGAATTGAGTAAACCTTAGAGTATGATATTGACTGCTTCAGCGGGAGAGAGGAGAGTTCTTTGTTCTCTTATTTTGAAATTCACCATCCCAACAGGTACAGAACAGAAAGACATAATCCAGACAAGGTGGAGAAGTATTTTCCAAGAGCTTTAACATCAACGTCTAGCTTGCCTATGGCAAATCAATTATCACATATATATCCAACTGCCTACT